TTTTTAAAAAATGGAATCGAAACTGCATGATTTTGAAACATTCCCAATTTTTTTTTGTACGTGTGTTTTTTTTTCCCTTTTGTTTTTTTTGCTTCAAGTCATTGTTGTTTTCTGGCTACGGCAGTGGTTTGCTATTTGCCCCCTTCCTAGGGCAGAGAGAAAGTGACTGGGCTCAAAGTCACCTACCTGGCTTCTCCTCCCTAAAAAGTGGGACTAGAACTCACAGTCTCCTAGTTTCTATTCTGGTGTCTGAACCACTACACCAAACAGCAGGTTTACTTCTGAATAAATCGATGACGCATTTTCATTCCTGATTTCATTTGGTTGAACATTTCTGATTTTTTGATTAAACAAAATAGTTCGGTTGAGATCTACATATGTGCAACTAATTGGGGTAGATTGCAGGGGTGACATCGAAATATAATTTTATCATATTTTATCTATATTTTAAATTATTATATTGTATTCCAATTTCATTTTAGGCTGTATTTTATTCCAATTCAATTTTAAATTGCTATTATCAAATTTTAGTAATAATTTGTTTCTGGAACTTTGCACTTTGATATGGCCCAAGGGCTAATTAATAAAGATTCAATGTCTGTTTTTTAGGATTGCCCACTTCCTTCATACCTCACTTGCTATGTTATTTTGTTGTCTATTTCCTTTCTTCCCTACCCTCTGTCTCTTTCCATTTTCTAGGTGATAGCAATGGCTGGCCGCAGGGTTGCTCTGAAAGCAATAGATTGGGCAGCATTTGCTGAACGAGTAGCAGTGGAACAGAAACCTATGTTTAATGCTTTGAAATCACGTAGCGATGCTCTTGCAGCCAAGTGAGTATATTTCTTAGTTTGTAAAGAGCACCATGGAAAGAAAAGGAATGACATTAAACCAAAATATCTTTGTGATCGGTGGATGCATCAGTGGCATTATTTAGATTACATTATTAACTACATGTTTCCAGACCGTGTTGCTGAACTGTTCACTTGCTTTTTATATCAGTGCAACAAAAGACATATTTTTAAGGCATAGCTGTACAGTTTTTTGAAATGGGCATGCTTTCGGACCTAGTTAAATCTTTAGGCAGAACTGTTCCTATGATTTTATATTAGATTAAATTTAAAGAGTTAAATAACTAAATAACAAGACTGTATTGATTACCTCTCAGTCATAGTTAGTAAATATGATAACACCAGGTATGGGAAATTTTGGTAGAGACAGTAATCGTCTCCATCCCACAGATCTTTAAATATAACATTCTTTGTTATCAAGTTTTTATCTTGATAACAAAGGGAATATCCAGACATTTCTTTGACTTTTCTTGTTGTCAAGATAAAGAATGAAAAATGACTTTAGAAGAAGGAATAGTCTGAAGCATCCAGTAATTTTAATGTTCTTTTATGTATCTAAACAGGCTTGCGTCTTTGCCAGAGACACCACCAGCCATTGACTGGACTTTCTACAAGACTACAGTTGCAAACCCTGCCCTAGTAGATGATTTTGAAAAGAAGGTGAGGCACTTTTAAATTTGTGGGTGTTTGAGGTGTATTCCATTGCATCCAGAAGAGACTTGGCATTTCATAAACACCAATAAAAATGTAATAAAACTTTCACAGTAAAAAGATGAAGAAATGAAGGACTATGCAGTATTACTCAAGTTGATAGCACCAATTTATCCCTCTCAGCTTCTTTGAAATACCCCCATTTCTTTTTTTTAACAATTTAGAAAAAACAAGTAGAGTGGGGGGGGGGGAATCAAATATCTGGGAGGATGCTATTTCAACGTACTTCTACAGAGATGTGGCTATGTGAAAGTTTTATTACATTTTTATTGGTGTTTATGAAATGCCAAGTCTCTTCT